TTGATGGGTGTATTTCACCCATGACCGGTCAACGGTCAAGACCGGATAGTTGACCGGTCAAAGAAGTCAAACTTGCAAGAGAGGTCTAGATCGTCGGCGAAGGGATGACTGGTTGACCAAAAGGTTGACCGGTATGCTTAGGATAGTATACCGGTCAAACTATACCGGCGACTAATTCACCCTACAAAGATGGCCACGCCAACCTGCAAGAACCAACCGGTGTAGTTCCTAGAGAATTGGGGAAGTGTCGGCAAGAGGAATCCAAAAGGACTTGGACTGTAGTGTTTGGAATTGCAGGGATGCTGAGGGAATATTTCCAAACCAGAACGCGACAAGGGTGCCACCCCCCGCACAAGATGACAAGGCAGCTCAGAGCCAGTCACTTCACACCACGCCAGCAGCATGCCCCCACGTTGGCGCACGTGGTCCTGCTCCCCAGCCTAGTATATATACCTCTTGTAACCTTCGAATGAGGGGATCCGAATTCACTCTCTCTAAACTCCCTTGTAAAAGCATCCGTGCATTCTCCGTTATAATATAAATTGGGCTACAGGTGTTCCACCTAAAGTCCTACCGGTCAATCTGCGTGTTTTTACCTTTCTTACTTTGCCAAATCAAGCAAACTATTCTAGACCCGGTCTAGTATAGTTTGACCGGTCAAGTAATTTACACCATCATTTTTTGCGCCACCCGTGGGACCGTTAAGGTTTCTTCTCCTAAACACAAACCTACCCACCAAAACACCACTCGAAATGTCTTCCAGCCAACAAATCAACGCTACTTCCGCTCAGGTGCAGGCCACAAACGAGGGAGCCAGCATCCCTGTGGCTGCTACCATACCGGTCATTTCAGCCCCGGTGTTGCCTCTAGGTCTGAGCTCTGTCCCGAAGGCCAGCGTGATCAGTCCCTTCGTGACCCCCGTCCCTTCCGCTGGACCGAGGGTAACGTTCCCACCAAGCATGACTCAGTTCATGAATGACCCAGCCAACCTACAAGCCATTCAGGGCTTTGGCCAGGTCATGGCTATGTGCCAGCAGAACGGGGGGATGCCTTTCCTCCCTGGTATGTTCCCATTCGCCCTTCCAGGCGCGGGGACCATGCCCCTACAAGCTCCGATGGCGGTGACGTCGTTCCAGACGCCGATGCCGCAACCATCACCTTTCCAGCCCCAGCTGGTCAGCACCGTGGCCCCGGTCAACTTGGCCGGTGCACTTAATGCTGCAGGGCCCCGCAAGCTACGGATCCATAGGTCACTCCTGATGGTCATTGCGTCTCGATTGAGAGCGATGATGGCGAGTGGGACATCCCGAGGGCCCACAAGAAGAAGAAAGGAAAAAACATCCGGCCAGCGACCTCCCGAAACTCCGCCTTCGAAAGGCTGGGGGATAGGGAGGAAGGCCAGAGGAAGTCAGCCAAGCAGAGGCTGGGGCAGAGTGTTGCCCATGTCAGCGCGTTCGCCCGGCTAGGCGAGGTGCGGGAGGCCGAGCCTGCCCGCACCCGGCGCTCCCGGTCTAACCGG